CCCAAGGCTCTTTCAAAGCCCAAAGGCTTCTCTCATAACTTTAATACAGCATATAAATTAGGGAGGTTTTCACTTAAGCCAAGGCAAGTAGTTAGTAGGAAAATTCTAAGTCCACTGAGCAGCTGCTGGTGTTGCTGCAAGTGCAGTTTTTCCATAGCCTGACTGTAAATCTTTTTTTTCTTTTTGTCCCTTCCTGTTTCTCCGGAGCATAGGAAACCATGCCCTGCTGAGCTAGGCTGTGTGCTGGTGGCACATCGCTGCCCGCTCATGTGCTGGGACTGCACTTTTTTATGTTGCATCTGTCCTTGATTTTTGAAAAACCCTTTGGATTTGGTGCTACTGAAGTATGTGCCATGTCTTGAAAACTGGCAGTGCCAAATCAAGAAGTCTGACTGGGGGAAATCTCCCATCCAAATTCTATTCATTCATTTTCCCCTCTGCCTTTGGGATGAGGTTATTTAGATGAATGTGATATAACCCAATTTAAAGTTTCATGAAAGACTTTCAGGCCTAGATTGACTCTCAGGTTTTGGGACCTGTTGGCAGTGCTGCCGTTCTGACACTGAACTATCTGGAAGGTATTATATGGAGAAGCATCAACGTGCACAGGTGACGACATCTGCGTCTTTTGTGCTGGGTATTTTATGCAAAGTCAGTCTCACTTGTCCTAGTGCAGCTGTTCACCCAGTAGACCCTCTTTCTTTCCCCTGCTTCACCAATCTTTCCTGGTCGCGGCAGCAGAAGAACAGGTTGTTACCAAGCCAGACGTTGTTTCTGGACACATCCACTGTATCCAGTGTGCATGAAGGGCTGTTCAGCCCTTCCTGCAGAGGGAAGTGCTTGGGAGAGTGCAGCCTTTGCAGACTTGGTGACAGAAGAGCACCAGCTGCTCTCGCTTGCACCTGCCGGTCAGTCCATGTATCGCTGCAGAGCCTGTCCAGGAGGGGCGATAAGCATTCTTTGGGGTTTTTTATCTTTTACTTTTCCTCTGCCTGTGAAACATCTGTAAGTAATTAAATCCACATTTCAGCCTGGCTCTTGGGCGGCAAGCAGACACATATGGAGTAGCACGTGCTACGTGCAACCAGCAGCAGCTCCTGTAACAGCTGCTAAATCCAGCATGTGCCATTCCCTGTGACTTGCCGGCTGCCTGCCAGTCTCTCCCTGCCACACATGGCGGAGCCTCAGGGCTACTACGTTCCCCTCAAGTAGACTCAACCAAGCCGCCGGCTACTTTTGCACCCAGCAAAGGAATGCTGGTCTGTTCCCTACCCCTCTCCTAGGCCACCGTCCTCTCCTACCACCTCCCTCCCCCACTGAGCTGCATGCCTGTATGGCCATTGACCCCAAATACAAGTTTGGTCTCACTAATTTTCTGACCCGGCATCTCATCTAGAAAAGTACACCAAGCACAGATAAGTTCATGTTTTGGTGATGTTGTACTTAAACTACAGTTTTACTAAAGCTGGAGTCACCTTGGTAGAGATTTACCTGTGTGAAGTCTCCTCAGTTCTCAACATTCCACCTTGAAACTGAGATAATGCCGTAGCACCTAAGAACCAGAGACTTTTTCTTCTGGTTTTGTCTTCTCCCAATCCTTTTAACAGTTCTGAGTTTCTCTATCTTTTCTCCTGCCCTGTTAAGGACCGTGTGCCCTCAGGAGTGCTTTATACATACAAAGGCCAGGGCTGGATTAACTGTTGTCATCTACTTTATTTAGCTGGCTGTGCCACTGCAAAGCAGCTGGGTAGGTCCTGTCCTAATATACTCAAGGAAATGGTGACTTAGGCCCGTGTTCCAGGGCTGTGTGAGAGCTGCTGGGCAGGAAAATGGAAAAGGTTGAAGAAGTGACTGAAATAATGTGAATTGTGATGGTTTTAGACTTGGAAAGTATGTGATTGATAGCACTTATAAAGATGTTTCTACTGCAACCAGTTTCTAATGTGATACCTGATAGGCACAAGCTTGTCATAGGGAAGTCAGAGAAGAGAAAACTGCATATGGAAGAGGAAGCCACTAGGCAGGGAAGCATCTCCAGAAATGTCTGGCACCACTTCACAAATGAGAGTGGTTGTCTCACCCTTTGATAAGGTGAGTGCTCTTTCCCAGGCCAGCCACCAGGCCAGCGGTACAGCTGCCAGAAGCTGGAGCTGCACCCACCGCCAGCTGCTTCGCCTGGTCTGCCAAGTCATGGCATGGGGAGAGGAAGCCTGTAGTGAAACATGTATGGGGTAGGACACTGTCCTTGCGTGTCACTGTTGGCCTGGTTTTCCCATGTGCCATGCATGTATGACTGCCTCCAAGCAGCAATTATCTTCCTCACATGTGGTTCATCAGAGGCAAGCCAGCGTGGTCCCTATCTTTAAGTAGCAGTGCAAACATGAGTTGGGCGTATAACAAATGTTGCAGGGTGCTCTCTCTCCTCCCTCACATGGCCAATGTACAAATTTGGGATGTTAACCTTTTAAACTCATCAACTGACCGAAACGTGACTGGTTCCCAGACTCACAGGACACAAAAGCTTCAGGATAAAGAAGTTACACGATACCTCATTGTCTGTCTTATTGACTTGAAGATGCAGTGACACGACGGCAGCAGCAAGCTGCCATATTCACCACCCCTGAAAGGAAAACGAGGTCCTTTTTTCAGAAGTCCACTGCAAAGAACTAATTGGGAAGAAAATGGTAGTTCAGTGGTGTACCTGTGCTTAAAATACTTAATTTTCCAAGGGAAGAAGAAACAGCAGCTGAAGGAACATTCCTAGCACTGATGGGTTGTTCACAAGCAGTCAGTGTTTGGCTTTTACCAGTGATGTGAAAGATCATGGGGCTGACCTAGATGAGCAAAGCAAGGGGCTCTCCCTGTGAGATGGCAACACAGGTTGCTTCATGCACATCCGCTATTAACTCCTGTCAGTGATGCCTTTAGAAATTTTAAAAGTATGAAGATGGTTCTTGTTTTATATGGAGATATTTTGGTATCTGACCCCAGTCACATACTTGCAAGGGGTTGTTCCCCTGCAGGTAAGTTGATTCTTCAACCCTTTGATTTTCCAGCTGGGAGATACAGTCCCCATGGGGAGATGCAGCTGCTCAGTTGAAGTGAGAGCCTCCACAGAACAGGGAAAGTGCAGTTTTCTCTAGTCTATTATTGCTGAAACATGCACCTGCCTTTAATTGGTGGTAAATTCAGTTGTTTCAATTTTCACTCCATCACTCAAGTCTTGAGGCATGTAATACAGGTACGTACAGTGACCTGCTGAGGCAGCTGGTAACTAGAGGAATCAGAACAGCTACACATTAGCCCTGTGCACGAGGTGGAAGAGAAATAACTGTCTCCCTGGCAGTTTCTTGCTCTTCCGCTAATACTTTTTGGAAACAGCGATGCCAAGTTACACTCAGAACAAAAATGCTTTGACCTGCCAAAAGAAAATTACATTTCCATGCCTGCCCTCTATGGTCAGCACTGTCACTCCAGAAGGAACAAGAGGTGGAAGCTGAGGAGGGAAAGTCACTGAACTCCCCTTTTCTCAAAGGGAAGGAGTCAATAAATGTCTTCCAGTAGATCTAGCAGAGGCAAGCTGCTCAACAGCAAAGTGTTCGTTTGTTTTAAAACGAAACCCATAGGAACTATAGCAGCATTACCAGCTAAGGTTTTGTTTTTAAAAAAACAAAAAACATTAAAAAAGAGGACCAGTTTGAACTTTGTCAGTAATGAAAAAGACCAACACCAAAGTACAGAAACTAACTTTGTCAGTTTGTTTTATTACTGGGCACAGCACAGTACCACTGCATATACATACAAGCCACAGTAATACAAACAATCTTTTATTTTTTTATTATTTAAAAATACACAGGATATTTGGGAGGAGTCAAAGGCCCCAGGGGTCAGCTCAAGAGCTATTTTGCTGCAGTTACAGCAGTTTTCTTACAATACTATTGTTTTTCATGCTGTTAATATGTGAAGCTGAAAAACCTGAGCTTGCAGCAGTGCCTCCGCTTAACATGATCAAGGCAGGCTTTTCTACAGCTCAAAGGCTTGCAAGCATGCTCAGTCATGGCCCTTCACAGTCAAATAAAAATGTACCAGACAGACATCCAGGTATGGAACTAGAAACCTCAAATGCTTCTACAGAAACCCATGTTATCCTGAAGCACCAGAGGTTTATCCAATACAGGGCTAGTTAAAATGCTGCTGCAGTCAAACAGCTTTCTTGCAGACAGCACAGACTTTCCACACAGGCAGGACTGTTTCTTATGGAGTCAGTTAAGTCTGTAGCAGCACAAGGTCAGTGAAGCTTGGAGAAAAGCTTGTCATTAAAGCAGGCTTAGCTCCTCAGAAAACTGATTTAAAACTAGAAGGCACAAATGCAAGGTTGAATGTGGGCTACATACCACTGTGGCACGTGAGCAGTTGAAATAGCTCTCGTAAGGGAAAATACAACACAATAAATACAGTATGATATTTTAGAAAAATAAGTGCATTACTGCAATCCTTCACAACACAAGGAAGTAGGATCCACAAAAGCCTACAGAGTTCACTTAATATTGCACAAAGTCCTGAAATTCAGCATCAGGTCATTGTACTGCAGGTGGGACACGGCAGGGATAAAAAAGGTCTTATTTGGCAAAACCTGCCCAAGTCTCCACCATCACACAAACAGCTTTTTGCCCGTCTGAGGTAGAATTACATATATACTGCTTAAACCCAGTCAAGTCCTGCTCAACTAGTCTTCAAAGAAAAAAAATAAAAAAAGAAAAAAGTGCACAGAATAGATGAGCCTCTTTCTTCTCTAAAGAAAGAGAGTGCTTCAGGTCTGATCCCAGGAAGTAAATATTACAGAGCAAAGTTCCAGGGAAGATCCCTGCCCCCCACCTGGAAAGCAGTGATGGCTATCATGGTGCTACAGCTGAGGAGTGTAACAGGTACTAATTGCAAGTTCTATAGCAAGGATGTTTTACTCCACTTCCTCCCTCCCCTACTACTTGCTAATTCTCCCTTTATTCACTCAGTCCAGTATATTTTATCAGAGTTAAGATAGTCCTCATCGCTTTCTCCCTTACGTCCCTTCTACTGGCACACTGCAAAAAATTTTTTTCTATTTCAACCCTTAGACTTCTGAGGGACACTTGCAGTTTCTTCTGGAGACTCCTCTGTGTAGTATAGGCAAGGAAGGATGGAAGTAAGAGCCTCTTCAATGGAGAAGAGATGTTTATCCTCTGCTTGAGGACAAAAGTAGCGCATAAAGTCTGCCAGTCTCAGCAAGTACTCAATGTTATGACCAGCACAACCACTTGAGACAATGATTTGAGCTGCAATGTCTTCTTCGGATGCTGGGCCGAGGTAAGAAGGGTTCTGGGGTGTTGCAATGTAAACAAGAGCCAGGATGGGTTCCTCTGCATCTTTCTCCTGAGGGTGGAACTTCACCAACTTGGTGACGTAGCCTCCCAGGACAGCTTCCCGCATGTTGAGATACTGGAGCGATGCAGCAATTTGTTCGCCACGAACTTCATAGGCTACACCCCATGTGCATGCCTGAAAGTGAAAGAGCAACTTGGTTATGGGATGCTGTAACTGCAGTAGAGAAGTCTATTAACATTTCAAAGCGAGCCTGCCTTGCTCTGGGGCCTCCCCACAACTGGCAGCCGGACAGGGGCGGGTGACACCCCCCAACCTTCCGCGAGGGCAGAAGACCACTCGGCTGCTCCCATCAGTTTCCGGCTCCTGATGTGGGCACCACCCAGGCCGCTG